AGCGGTGAAGAAAGTTTATGGTGTTCTCAGTGTGGTCTTTCAACTAGAAAAGAATCCACTGTAATCCATGACCATATAATAGGATGCCTCAGGTATCTTTTTATTTTGATTAATTAACTAATTAAATTTAATTTATAAAAATTAAAGAAAGTATACAATATGGTGTTTGATACATATATACATAGTGAAAATATCTTTACCATCAGGCTAATTAACGTACTGTCTCTCACATAATTACCACTTTTTGTTTCTTATGAGAGTATCTGAAATCTATTCTCTTAGTAAAAATTTCTGGTGTTCAATGCAGTGTTATCAATTGTAGTTCCCATGCTGTACATTAGGTCTCCAGACTTAATCCTCCTACAAACTGCAAACTTTGACCCACATCTTCCCATTCCTCCCACCTCCACATCCCTGGTAACCACCTTTCTACTCTTTGCTTCTATGTATTCAACTTTGTTGATTCCACATGTAAGTGAGATCTTAACTGGACTAGACTTGAAGTAGAAATAATATTTACCTGGCAATCAGGCTACTGGGTTCTATTATCACCTTTGGCTGTGACTGATTGGTTGCACATCTTTGGGAACACAGATAATCTGTGACTTGGTTTTCTTATACATAAAATGTGAGCTTTGTACTAAATGACCTCTATGGGCCTCTTTAGTTTTCTATTTTTTTTTATTCTGCTGAAGATTGAATATTTATATAAAAGCTGAATCCACACACTATGTAGAAGGTAGTTTGTATGTTAAGATACTATCTCAGGAATTAGTTTTGATTATTTTGGGCATAGAATTCCCATTTTTCTTATATGAGGGTCTAGATTTTCCTTGTCCAATATGGTAGCTTCTAGGCACATGTAGCAATTAAAATTAAGTAAATGAAATAAAATTAAAATTTAGTCCCTCAGGAGGGCAATAAAGTTAAGTGCATTATAAACGGGATTGAGTTAAATGCTTGTGCTATGAGGTAGGTATTATTTTCTGTATTTTATACATGAGAAACTTGAGGGCCAGAAAGGTCAATTAATGTGTTCAGGGATAATAAATAGCACCTCATTGGCTGGCTTTGGGTCATATCTACATGCATATTTCTGCTCAGTGAGGGCTTTTGCCCATTTGTTGTATTGATTCTTCTCACCATTGATCTCACTGTCTCTTCTGTACCAGCGTTAGCACATTTAATATCTACATTTGTACTGTAGTTACTTTTAGTGGCTCTATAATTTACATATATTTGTGACCAGGAAGATATCTTTATAGTTTGGAAGAACTTTTTAGAGTTAAGCTAAAACAGGGCTCAGCAAACTGTGTCTGTGAAGGACAAGATGACAAATATTTTAGGCTTGTGGGCCATACAGTCTCCATGGCAACTATTCAGCTCTGACTTTGTAGTGCAGTGGTTCTCAACTTTCCTAATGCCATGACCCTTTAATACAGTTCCTCATGTTGTGGTGACCCCCAACCATAAAATTATTTTTGTTGCTACTTCATAACTGTAATTTTGCTACTGTTATGTCTTAGGTGACCCCTGTGAAAGGGTCGTTTGATCCCCAAAGGGGTCTTGAACCACAGGTTGATAACTGCTGCTGTAGTGGAAAAGTCCCCACAGACAATATGTAAACAAGTGGGCATTGCTGGGTTCCAACAAAACTTTATTTACAAAAATAGGACATGGGCATGTTTGACCTTTGGGTCCTGAGTTAATGGTATTTCATTTCTACCATCTATGCTAATGTGTTTTATTTGATTTATTGATTCATTTATTCATGTATGCATTGATGTTGCCTGGCCGGTGTGGCTCAGTAGATTGAGCGTCCTCCCATGGACTGGGAGGTCCCTGCTGGATTTGTGGGCAGCGCACATGCCTGGGTTGTGGGCTTAATCTCCAGTAGGGGGCGTACAGGAGGCAGCTGATCTTTGTTTCTCTCCCTAAAAAATACTTTTATAAAAAATAAAAAGTAAATAAATAAAATGCATTGATGTATTAAATACATTACTCAGATAAGGAAGGTTAAGATAGATAATTAAAGAGACAGGTCTGTTTTTATTGAGAAGTACTTGAATTGCCCAGAATTTTGAACTTTGTCTGTGGATAAATGTATGAGTTTTTGCAAGTTATGAGATCTATTTGAGTCTTATTTTCTTTGTCAAATGGTAAGAATAATACTTACCTACCAGCTGTTGAAAGGATGACATGGAAGACTACCGTCAGTGCTGGTGTTGTCTGCCTGGGTCTCCTGTATTTTCCAAATGAACTAGTGCTTATTAAGAGAAACTTGACAAAGTCAAAAAGAAAGAAATTTACTTTTCAGATGGAAGTGGGAAAACTATTACAGTCATTATACTCTCTCTGTAAAAGATGATAATAGGAAAAAAAAAACCCACAATTGTTTTAGATGAGGAGAAATGATGGTGGGGGAATATATGCAGTGGCTGAGTGGATAGATAAGACATCTGAAAATGAGGACAAGAAAACGAAACTTTTCTCAACATAAGAGAGGTAGGGTGAGGAGAACAAAGAAAGGACATAGATAGGGATTCGGCTCATCTATGGGAACAGAACCTAGAGGTGGGTTTGGATGTGTGAGGAGTTAGAAACTAAGAAGGAAAGGTAAGTCAGTAATGTATGAATCAGTACATCAAAAGCACCTTCTCCAGAAGATTTCTGAACTTTGTGTAACAGCATTTACCTTTGGAAGGAAGAAATACTTTCTTGTGTCTCACCAAGTGCACTGAGCTGGGTAGCTAACAACCTAGCAGTCTGACTTTGCGCTGATGTATAAGGTGGCACACACATATTTAAAATTCATATCGACTGCAGTGACAAGCCACTGAGCACTGTAGATGGGAAGACACATTTCTGTTGAAGCTGGGCCAAAAACACTTTTTGAAACAGCTCTGATAAAATAGTTCCATAAATGAATAAATCCAAAGAGTTGCTGGATATCTTTGAAAACTCACATGACAGCAGTGTCAGACAAAGATGCTAAGTACAGCTTCTAATAAGCAGTCACACATACGCACGGTAATATAACCTGGAGGTAGATTTTCTCAGTTCCATTTCTGAACTGGGTGAACTTTGCTGTCTGGGTCCATACTACATATGCGTTTGATAGTCACTTGGAGCAATATAATTATCTCCTAATGCAGCTTAATGTCATGAAGTTATGTATTTTCTTAGTGTGATTGTAAGGCCCTTGAAGTAAAATAACCATGTAGTTATATGCTTTAAAGTAGCCCAATAGATAAAAATTCCAAATTATATAAGATGGATTTGGGTGATTTAAGTTTACAGTAAATTGTTTATGACATAGGGATATGCCATCTAAAGATTTTTATAACTGAGATTCCTGAATCAATTTAAAGCTTGCTTCTTAGTCCTGGCCGGTTGCTCAGTGGTTAGTGCTTCAATCTGCAAATCGAAGGGTCATGGGTTTAATTCACAGCTCTGGTTGGGGTCGTGCATGAGGCAATAAATTGACGTGTCTCTCTCACATTGATGTTTCTCTCTCCTTCCCTTCCACTCTATCTATTAAAAAAAAAAAAATCAGTGGAAAAGTATCCTCAGGTAAGGATTAACAAAAAACAAACAACAAAAGTCCTTCCTTCTGTGACAATGGGGAAAGCACACTGTGTTAAGTGGTCCAGAATCCTTCAATGCTGTCTTATCTCTTCCAGTACCTTAGAGTTTGGTGAGCTGTACCTGGGTCTTTGTCACTTCATCTGTGACATGAATGGCCTATCCTAGATGATGGCCTGTACTAGAGCACTGTGAAATTTGGTGCTCTTCTTATTAAATTCTAGCATTTAAAAAATTTTTTTCCCTTTATTGATTTTAGAGAGAAAGGAAGGGAGGGGAGAGAGAGAGAGAGAGAGAGAGAGAGAGAGAGAGAGAGAAACATCGATGAGAGAGAACATCAATTGACTGCCTCCTGCGTGCCCACCACTGGGGATCTGGCCCTCAACTTGGGCGTGTGCCCTGACTGGGAATTGAACTGGTGACCTCTTGGTGCATGGGTCGATGCTCAACCACTGAGACATACTGGTTGGGCGAATTCTAGGCATTTTTTTTAAAAAAAAGGTCTGGTCAATACTCTATCTTCTGGCTGCTCTGAATCCCTTCCCAAGTAATTCTGTTCCTGCCCCTGGCTTATTATGGGTGCATAGTAGAAACTTGCTCTTTATAAAACAAAAATGTAATTGATGGGATTCTACAGTAGTATGAAGTTTAAATGACATCACCAGATGTGAAGATAGAAAGGATTTGCATTTATAAAAATAATTTCAGCTGTCCATTGGTATAGTCTGTCACTTTCTGTGATATTTCCTTGTTTTTCATTTTTATTTTTAAAATCATTAAATAAAAATAACCACCACCTAAGGTGGTATATTTTATTTGAAATGTTTTTAATGTCATTTTGTAATACAGTGAAATAATGTAGAAGTCATGCTCTGTCAAAGTAAGCAGAACTTTGTCATTACGAGGGAGGACAGAAATGTGCAAGATGGCTGTTTGTCTCTTACTACTTTAGAGGTTATATGTAATCATTTGCTTTCTTTAATTAATGTGAGACCTTGCTAGGGTTCAACTAAGCTCTGTCTTTTAGATGATCTCTGTCTTAAGTTTTTTGGTTATAGAACGTAGTCAAAATAAAAAGAAGTTGTCACATTTAGAGTTTTATTCAGCACGAGTAGTTCAGAACATGACGTGACATGACAATGGAAACTTTCTTTAAACTCAAGGATCTAAATGACAGGGGAAGGACATTTAGAGATTAGGGATCTAAAAGTAACATTCAAGATTCTTTTTATTTAGAGCAATAAATATTAAGCCTCTGTTGGCAGATTTTCTTAACTGGATCTTTTGCCTGCATGGAGAAGTAGTGAGGGAAACAGAGATGTCAGTAGGACAATAGGGGAGCTTGTGGGAAACATGAAAGACACATTTACTTTCTTCAGAGTGAATCTTGTGCTTTGCATGTGTGCTCTTTCCAGAATCCGTGAAAGAAGTTTCCACAATGGTTTGTTCAACTCTTAGGAGAGTTGCCCACATGCGTGTCTACCTGGTGAGGACGGCCAGTAGTGTCTCTAGAGGCCACTGTCATTCTGCCTTGGGTTCGAGGCCTGCTGCTTCAGAGTCTGCTGGCCAAGGAGTTCCAGGTAGTGTGATGGAGCTGCTGGGTCAGTCCTACCCTCAGGATGACTACAGCAATCTCTCCCGGAAAGTCCTCTCCAGAGTTGGCAGGAATCTGCACAACCAGCAGCATCACCCTCTTTGGCTGATCAAGGAGAGGGTGAAGGAGCACTTCTATAAGCAATATGTGGGCCGCTTTAGAACTCCACTCTTCTCGGTCTACGATGACTTTTCTCCAGTAGTCACGACCTGGCAGAACTTTGACAGCCTGCTCATCCCAGCTGACCACCCCAGTCGGAAGAAGGGAGACAACTATTACCTGAATCGGACTCACATGCTCCGAGGGCACACGTCTGCGCACCAGTGGGACCTGCTGCATGCTGGGCTGGATGCCTTCCTGGTGGTGGGCGATGTTTACCGGCGTGACCAGATCGACTCCCAGCACTACCCCGTTTTCCACCAGCTGGAGGCCGTCCGGCTCTTCTCCAAGCACCAGGTGAGTCTTGAGACATTTTTCATCATTAAGGTGAGAGTAGTCTTGTTGAGGTCACTACAGTTTATCTTCATGAAACCAGAACAGTTGTTCTTCACATTTGTGAATCACCCATCCTTGATGACACCCTTTGTCTATGCTGAGCCTCAATATTTTTGGACTCACTTGTTGTGTTACTAACTACAAATATTGGTAGGCCTTTGTTTTCTCCTGTCTGCCCTCATCCTTTCAGTACTGATCTGCCTTTCTCTGGGTTTCTTCTTAAGAATAAATAGTCAAGCCCCGCCAGTGTGGCTCAATGGTTGAGCGTCAACCCATGCACCAAGAGGTCGTCGGCTTGGTTCCCGGTCAGGGCACGTGCCCAGGTTGTGGGCCAAATCCCCAGTGGGGGGCATGCAGGAGGTGGCCAGTCAATGTTCTCTCTCATCAATGTTTCTATCTCTCTCTCCCTCTCTCTTCCTCTCTCTCTAAAATCAATAAAGGGAAAAAAAAGAAAAAGGAATGAATAGTCAGTGGCTCAAAGTTTCCCTTAATCCAAGGTGGCTAAACATGCAACACTGAAACCTGTGGTAAGGTTATTCCACTTCTTTCTTAGTAGAAATTAATTGTGTGTTCATGCTGTTAGAGATTAGTGCATTCCTTACCTTATAATAGAGGGGACTGAGGATTTAGTGGGTTAGACTGTAAAGGGTGTTCTTGTTCCCAGGCTCTTTCCTTACCCTGCCCTGCTTTACATTTTTTTAACGCTTTGTAGTATTTTCTTTGTGAGATGTCTTAATTGTTGCTACTTTTGAAGTACAGTTTGCCCTCCTTTATCGTGGTTAATCAGTTCCAGACTCCACTGTGATAAATGAATTTCCGCGAAGTAGGATTCTTTATTTATATACAGTTGTCCCTCGCCACTTCGCACTTCGACTTTCACGGCTTCTCGCTAGCCGCAAAAGTCAAAGCATGAAGCGGCGAGGGATGACTGTATGTTTGGATGTATTGAGCCTTTCTGATCAGGAAATCTGATATTCTGGTCATTCTCAAGAGACCCAACTTATTACATCTGTTAGCTCATATCCTAATGCATTGTGTGCATCTCTCTCCCTCCCTTCCTTCCTTTCTTTCTTACCCCCTCCCTTTTTTGGGGCAAATTATGAAAATCCCTAATAGCTCAAGTCTATTTCCAAACAATCTGCAATACTAGTCTTTTATTCATATATTTAACCATCTCTGTTTTTATTGAGAAACAAATGGAATTAAATGAGGCACATGAAATATTTTTTTCAGCACTTCTTCCAAACATATTCATTGAAATAGGAGAAATAATTATTTTAATAAAACTTCCTCCTGCCCACACAAGCTAAATCGGTTGTTGGATTGGCAGAGGAATAGTATAGGATCCTTAGGCTAATAGTGACCATCACTTTGTTGGATTAAACATCCTGTTGTAGGAGACAGTTGTCTGCCTCAGCATGTTTAATTTTCCTGTGAAATCTCTGCTAGTACAACAGGTTACTTTTACACAAAAACATTAACCAAGCTTAATCTCAGAGCTCCTTAGATAAGCATTCTTACTGATTGGAGTAGCTGTTTTCTAAGTTAGGAATAATAACTATTAATAAGGATATGGATTTATTAGGAAATGGAAAGGAAATGAACAAAGACAGATCAAAATCTGGGAAATAAGACCAAGTGATAGAATGTCACCTATAATTAATGTGCTAGAGCAGATGTGATGCTAGTAATGTGGTGTCTAAGCCATGGCTGTGGACAGGTCCTCAGCCCAGCCTACCTCATTAAAACAATGCAAAAGGAGAGTGCTCTGATTTGTAAGCCTGCAGGCCATGCAGGCCGAGTGGAAGAGCGGGACTCACACAACCATTTTAGTGGAGGAAAAATCAAGGCTACTTGAGAAGGTGGAAAATAGGAAGAGAAGTAGAGAATGAATTCTTATCTTATACCATATTTGTTTTGGATCCAGTCTGACTTAGAGGGTAGTAGGCATGACTAATGTGATCTGATGGTACTATATATTCTTCCTTATAGTTAAAAAAATACACACTCACATATATGTATATATCTAAGGTTATATTTTAATAAAGTACTTCCATGTTCATTGTTTCATTTACTTCTCCTAATAAAAACCTTGTGAGATAGATTATTTCCACTTTAACTGTGAGGAATCTAGTTCTGGAATGTTTAATGACTTGCCCAAGGTTACTTAGCCCATTGGTGGCAGAGCTAAAACTTCATTCAGGTTATTTGAGTTCATTGCCCATTCTACTATATTCTGTTACTTTTCATGGCGCTGCTTTGTAAGCAGGACCTACTTATGGCAAGCAGTGCTTCAGCCCAAAGAATGGTGTGGGGGAGAGAGAGGTGGTATTTTTTAATTCCTGGCCTTTAATTCTAAGCCTGATCTAACATTATTAGGTAGAAATTTGGTAGACTCCATTAAGTGTATAGGCTGTAGTTAAAAAGGTACTTGCAGCATATTTAGTTTTAATTTATTTAAAACATTTAAAAATTCTGAAAATTAATGAATTAAATGTTCAGCTTAAGATGCTAAAAGCAAGCAGCATTGTTTTAAAAAAGTAGAAAGGAGATAGGTTGCATAGTTTTTAATAAATCCTAATCTGCCCTGGCCGGTTTGGCTCAGCGGTTAGAGCATCGGCCTGCGGACCGGAGAGTCCTGGGTTTGGTACCTCAGTTGCAGTTTGTCCCTGCCCCAGTTGGGGTTGTGTTGGTGGCAATCACTCAATGTGTCTTTCTCCCATCGATGTTTCTCTCTCTCTTCCTCCCTCTCTCCCTCCCGCTCTATCTGAAGATAAATGCAAAAATGTCCTCGGGTGAGGATTTGAAAAAAACAAATCCCAAATCTTACAAAACAGATACAGTGACTGGAATAGCAAAACCCCAACCATTGGCCACATCTATAAAACAACTGGGTGACAGGGTCTCCTTAAGATCATTTTTTCTTTTATTTATTTTTTATTAATTTACATTTGTTACAGATGTTTCTCTTTTTTTCCCCATTGACACCCTCCTCCCCATCCCCTCCCACCCCGTCCCCAGCTTTGTTGTCCATGTCCTTTGGTTATGTGTACATGTATATAAGGTCTGTGGTTTATCTCCCCCTACTCCCTCTTCTGAGGGTTGTCAATCTGTACCCTACTTCCACATCTCTGAGTCTACCCTGTTCCTCAAACTGTTATGTTCATTGTATTCTACAAATAATTGAGATCATGTGATATTTGTCTTTCTCTGCTTGGCTTGTTTTGCTTAGGATAATACTCTTCAGGTCCCTCTATGTCATCTCAAAGGATAAGAGATCTTTCTTTCTTACAGCTGCATAGTACTCCATTGTGTATATGTAGCACAGCTTTTTTATCCATTCGTCTACTGATGGACACTTGGTCTGTTCCCAGATCTTAGCTATTGTAAATAGTGCTGCTATAAACATAGGGGTACATATATTCTTTCTGATTGGTGTTTCAGGCTTCTTAGGGCATATTCTTAGAAGTGGGATCACTGGGTCAAATGGCAGTTCAATTTTTAATTTTTTGAGCTAACACCATATTGTTTTCCATAGTGGCTGTACCAGTCTGCATTCCCACCAGCAGTGTACTAGAGTCCCCTTTTTTTCTTATAACCTCATCTGAGGATATGGTAGAGAGAGAGAGGGAGAGAGGAGAGAGGAGAGAGAAAGAGAGAAAGAGAGGAACATCGATTGGTTGCCTCCCACTGGGGATCAAACCCACAACCTGGGTATGTGTCCTGACCAGATATCGAACCCAAGACTTTTTGGTGCGCGGGACGATGCTCCAACCAGTTGAGCCACACTGGCCAGGGCTCCATAACATCTTAACAAATAGGTGGGAGCTCACTGCTGACAGCTAGAAGATCTGTATTGTGTCAGAAACTGAGGTAGTAGAGTAAAGCAGTGGGCGTGGGAAGAGGAGAGTGTCCTTAGTCTCTCATGTAACAAACTCTGGACAGCCAAATTAGAGGCTTTGACATTAAGCACTAGTAATAAAGTGTTCACTGATGACCACTAACATCACAAAAAAGGGGCAGCCAGACTTAAGTGTCTCTGGATGGAAGAATAGAATGCTAACTGTAAAGTCTTGCCAATAAATATGGAATTCAAAATCTAGATCTAACTTCCATATTTTTAGGAAGTACAGAGGAAAAAGAAGCATGTTAGACTACACCATGGAGAAGTAATTGGCAAAATCCAGCCTGTGGGAAATTCTATAGCAATGCTATCCAGGAGATGATCTACATAATGAAATAAACAGAATAATCAAAAGAAGTAAGCACTCAGAAATGTGTAAACAATGTTTAGTGTTTAGAAATGTTTAAGCCAGAATACTAAGCCCATTACTAGTGGACTTCTTTTGTTGAATAGCTGTGAACTGACTCAGCTGTGCTCTCAGTAAGTTACACGTGCTCAGTCTGTTTAGTAGCTATGTGCAGTGGGACATTTGTCAGTTTGAGACCGAATGGAAATCTAAAGCTGTCCATTTAGCATAGATAGTTTGAGAAGCACTGCTCAACAGGATAAATGATCCAATTTCTTCAAATAAAGTGTAAGAAAAACAAAAGTATGGGCAGAATTACTCTGTGTAGACCCCATAAAAAAAAAAAACATCTTTAAAGAAAAAAAAAATTGAGATCATTGGAAATTTAACACTATTTGAATTTAAGAAGTTCTTTTTTTTTTTTTTTTAAGGTAGGATAATGGTATTATATTTTTATAAAGTTTTTAAGAGATACATATTGTACTACCTGTGGATGAAATGGTCAGATGTCTGGAGTTTTCCTCAAAATATGGGATAGGCGTTTGGGGATGAATATAAGAGGATTGGTCATGAATTATTAATTATTGAAGGTGGGTGTTGGATACATGAGAAATCATTACCTTCCTATTTTTTCATCTGTTTGAAAATTTCCTAATAAAGGGCTAAAACATTGGGATCAGTTAGTCAATTAAAAAAAATGTATGCAAATAT